CGTTCTTACTGCACTGCTGAAGTGATTTGTTATTCTGAGTTTTGATTTGTTAGTTACCAAGGATGGGCCCGAAATGGATGTGCACAAGGTAATATTATACTGGATAATTTTAAAAATTGATCATAAATAGTTTTAGAAGATAGATGTTTATTTAAGAAAAAATATAAAATAGAAAAGAGAAACATAAATTGCCTGCTTTGTAAATAATTTTAGCCGCGGATTTGCACGATATGGATTAGTACATAGAAAAATTATTTAAATTATCAAAGAAAAAATTTTAATAGATAATTTTTAACACGGATTCGCCCGAAATGGATTTGCACATGGAAAAATTAACAAAGAAAAAATTTTAGCAGATAATTTTAACCACGGATTTGCCCGAAATGGATTTGCACATGGAATTGTATAAATTAATAAAAAAAATTTTAGCAAACAATTTATCCACAATTATTAATGATACTTATTGTTTTTCTTAACTTTCTTAGTGTTTTCTTGTATTTATTTATATATATATATATATATATACACACACACACACCTAAGTTTATTTCTGCAAACATTTGTGGTGTTTTCACTGAAAAGAAACCAATTTTTTTAATTAAAAAAGCAAATTTTTTTAAAAAGGCAATTTTTTTAAAAAAAAGAAGAACTTGCTGACCCGCTAGAAAACTTGAACCCCACTAGATAAGACCGGCTTAAGCCAACCTTGTTTGATCTAGCCACAATTGACAAGTAGTGTCATATGCATCAAACGAAAAAAAAAATTAACGATATTATAGATTCTGAACGATAAGTTCGAAAAAAAGTCGCATTTTTTTAAGTTTACTTTCTCAAGAACAATTTGACCGATTTTGACGAAATTTTGTATTTTGTTGTTTAAAATTACGTAGGTTAAAACGAAGTCAAAATTTGTATACTTATATTTTAAAATTTTTCAAATATATTTAAATAAAAAATAAACAAATATTCTAAAATGTTTTTTACATATCTTTAGATAAATAAATTTTACAATCGCGAGTAAAAATTCTTAAAAAGTTTTCGAGATATGGGGAAATACGGAAAAAGTAAAATTAACATAAATGGACCCAAACATCTGGCTACTGCTCTTTTACATCTAAACAATTGCCAACATATTTTTCAGATTGCTTCCGCCGAGAATATTTTAATGGTTACGAATCCAAATTTATCCAGAAAAATTTATGTTTTGTTTATTCAGAGAAACTACATATTTGCGTCTTGTTTCGTAACATAATTAACCATCTGAGCAAATAAAATTTACTCTTAAGTCGCAAATATTTGGTCTTGAATTTAGCGAGATATTTTTTTCTTACTGTACCACTATAATTCAGTTTAGATATCCCATTTTTTTCATTCAAAATATTAATAATTCACCTAGAATGTGCTAATTGGCTAATTTTATAGTGGATTAAATGTTACGTATGGTGGTGGTACTTATTCCCCTTGGCCCAGAACAAGGCTAGACCAAGTCCAGGAGACCGTTCACCGACAGAAAATCAAACACCATCTGCGGATCCTCCAAAATAAATTTTTCTCCAGTCCATACAGGATAGCAAATGATCTGGTGAAGCCTGGTGGGCATTACATTTTAGGCATACAGGGAACGTCTTTTGACCCTGAACAAATGTTAGTCCGCGGGTATGACCAGTGATTAATCTTGTGATAGCTGTCTGTAGTTTCCTATCACTTTTAAGCTCCAGGGCAGCCCCAGGACTATTTTGTTGATACCATTCACGACTAGGTGGAATCCTCCAAGTCCTATTACTGTCGGCCTTTACTTTTGCATAGATTTCATTGTATGTTAGAAGGCCACTACTATCTATGGGATCATTGGAGCCCACCTTGGCCAGATCATTAAAGTGAAGGTTCACGTGGGAGGGGATCCACTGAAGATGTATATCATTGTGATAAGAGTAAGTCATCAAATTGTCGATGATATTTAGGCCAATTCTGTCACTGATGTTTTGCCAATTACTCAGGTATTGAACTGAGCTCTTACTATCCGTAAAAATCCAGATATTCTCTGTACTCTCAATGGAAATCATGTGTTCTAGAGCTGCGTTTATGGCGATTAGTTCTGATCTGAAAACTGAACAATGGTTTGGGTTACGCCTTTTAATTTTTGTAACGTCATCTTGGTTTTTTATGACAACACCACTACCAGTGTTGCCATTATCGAATTTACTTCCATCCGTGAAAATATGTACTGCTTCATTTGGAGTGTTGTGGATTGTCCCCAGTGCCAACTGTCTAAGAAGTGCTGGATGCTGATTTTTCTTACTACTGGAGGCCAAAAGTACCTCGTGAAAGAAAACCCTCGAAAGGTCTTTCAGTGGGTCTATATTTGGTTCTATCGAGCAGTGTTCTATGTCAGGGAACAGCAGATTAAATTTACCCGCCCTGCAAAAGGGACTGTCTCTTTTTAATCTCTGGACATCTGTCCAATTCATCAAGTAGGTAGAAATACGATGTTGGTCTACATAGCTGTATAGCTTGCTGTAATATTTTGCGGTGCTAGAAGTCCATCTCATAAACAATGGTTGGAGATTAGCCTCGTATAGGACATACTCATTAGGACAGCTATTACGTAAGCCTGTAATGATCCGTGCAGCACTCAGCTGTATCCTTTCAAGCATTTTTAAATTACCTGCCGAAGCTGTCAGTAAAATCTGGAATCCATATTCCAGCATTGGTCTGATAAAGGAAGTGTAAGTTGTCCTTAGGGTATTGGCATCTGCTCCCCAGTCGCGTCCAGAAATATATTTCAAGATGTTAAGTCTCTTTCTTGCCCTCTCCGCCTGATTGGCGATATGTCTGTTGCAGGTAATCTCGGGGTCAAGTGTAAAACCCAAGTATTTTGGATATTTAAATGTTACGTATAAGGGCCAAAAGCGACAAAACTGCGTCAAAATCAAAGGATGCTACAGAATTTGATGTAAAAACAAAATTAAGAAGCTAATTAAAGCGAGTTAAGTTCACTCGGGGTGCTCGAAATGGAAGAAAGAAAGCCTGAAGAAAAACCTGCTACATGAAGGGTTACTTCATTAAGGAAGCTAATATCTTCGATTTCGTTAAGCAATTTATTGAAATCGATTTCTTTCCCTAAACGTTATTTCTATATTTTCAAAAATAAAATGAAAATTTAAAAAATTTCTACATTTTATAAAAAAATTTATAGTTATTAGAAATTTTAATGAAATATGTGTCCGAAAAAAATCTGGTCCTATTTCATAAGTTTAAATATCGTCAGCCCTAATTAGCATATTTAAGGTTCGAGTCATTAAGAGTGTGTCTTGAGTGTATTGAACACGTAAGATCAAATGTTTTACAGTATGCTCACTTTTTTTTTCACCCGGTACATTTGTTAAAGCTATCTTCAACAATTTTCAAACTATTATTCTGCTTTTATTTAATTTTTTTTGTCACTGTTTGCATTTATTCTGTTTGCATCAAATGGTAAATTAGTTACATTTATTTTGAAAAAAGACATGTTTTCATTTACTATATAAAAAAATACTAATTGCAAAAGTGTAAAGTAACCAAATATTTCATATCCAAATTTAAATAAGAATTTCAAAAACAAGGTGAAATGATAGATTTAAATTTTTTCTCACTAATATCGAAAACTAAATCTGTGTAACCCATTCGTATTTTAACCCTTTGACGCAGATGGGACACCGGTGTCCCATTTAAATATTTTTTCCGACCCTCTAAATACAAGCAAAAATATATTTTGTATTTATTAATTATAAAAAACAGCCTAATGGTTAGTTAAAAAAATCATTTAGATTTTCGGAATTGCATTTGCGTTTCAATATAAAATCGGAAAAAAATATTTTGAAAAAAAAAAATTTCATTCATATTCAAAAATGTATCAATAACTATTTTTCAAATTCTGAAAATTTTGTTTCTATTAGATCTAAATACTTCAAATAAGTTAATTTGGAAGTGTTACCTTTGATGAAGAAGGGGACACCGGTATCTCATGCTGTATTTCATAAGCATAAATTATTGAAGTGCTGAATGTCATATTTTTCACTTATTTTGTCCTAAATTAATACGAAATAATGAAAAAAGTATGAAAAAAAGTATAGTAAATAGTCTTCTGCGCCAAAGAGTTTTTTTTTTTAAAAAATTGGAACCTTTTAATAAAATAATTTTTAATTTGGGTGTAACCATCTGAGGGGATTGAACGAGAGCTGCGGTGCCTTCTAGTTAATAAAAAAATAATAATAACAATAAAACAACGTAGTAAGTCATGTGAGCTCTTCTTCAAAATAATAAATTAAAGCATCAGCTTAGTTCTAAATTACTTTACATTTAGCGTGGCTGAGATTTACATTTAGGAACATCTTAGGGGCATTGACACAGCTTTACGTGTCGATGACCATGCTTTTTCTAAGAAATAAAAAAAAGGGAGAGAAGAGACACGCCGTCTCACCTACAGTACTCGTTGACCCTTTCCAGTGAGCTATTTTTGAACGTGAATTGTGGGAATTAACGGACACTGAGGTAGTGGAACTCTCACTTGCAGCTACTGGTGAAGTGGGACGAGAGGAGGTGGTAGATCGGCCAGGCCCTGCAAAAAAACAAAAGAATTAGCTAAGCAGATTTTTTATGTATAGAGTAAAAATAAATTGATTCGAATTTTCTTCGTAAGAAACACAGCTGCGTTGCCATACAATTAACTGAACAAATCAACCTAGTAGGTAATACTTTACTTTATTAACCTTCACCTTTGTTTTAAAAATGAAATCAGATGCATTACGAACAAAACTTTAGAAGAAAAAATTTTTTCGTGAAGAAATTCTTTTTCAAAATTAGGTTCGTAGAAAAATAAGCTTTTTCTATTACTCAGAATTGTCTAGGCAAGTTAGTAAAACGAATATGTTCTAATTCTTCTCCTCTGCAAGAGGAAAATAGGGCAAAATTTAGTGACTGGATTTCAGGTATTGCAATGTTTTAGCATAGCTATGTTTGCTTAAGCAATTTATCTTCCGAAATATAATAAAATTATAAATAATATTAATTATAATTTTAATGTACAATTAATATTAACTTCATTTATCATTAAAAATAATTCATTATAATTTTTATAAGTTTAGATAATAGTATGTATTGCAAAGCACCAAACTTACTACTATGTGCCCTTTGATATACACACACATTTACGTTTAATTTAAATTACTTGATTCTACTTATGTCTTTCCTGTAAAATGTCTTGCAGACTTTAACGATTAAAATATAGAAATTTTTAAACTTAAACTAAATTACATATAAAAAAAATAACAAATATACAAAAAAAAATGCATTAAGTAATCATATATTAAGCACAAAATTTAATCCTAGTTTTCTCTTCATAGATTATGCCATTAATTGTTTAGGTTAGGTAGAAAACGATCTCAATCGACGTAATCAGTTTTTGAATTTGTACAGACATATTTTTCAATTTTTTCAAAAATTGGAAATTAGATTTGTATCTTATTTGTGTAAATCTAGTTTGCATCATTATTGCTTCCCATTAAGCATAGCTACCTAGTTTCTTATTCAGAAAATAATGTCATTTAATTTATTTGTAACAAAGCAATACTTAATAAAAATACCCTTTATCCAACTAGAGACTTTCCATTACTAATACTGTCTGTAAAAAATACAGTTTAAAAATTTTCCTCGAAACTTTTTTTTAAAAAAAAACTGAATATTAAGATAAGAAAGAAGTGATAAAAAGGATAGGACAGCAAATGAGCTTACCTGGTGGTGTTTGTATTGCGTAAGTCATCCTGCATACAGGAGCACAGCCCGCCATGAGGGATAGCAGACGTTGCAAGTGCCCTGCAAACAGCAGGATTCTATGGTTAGCAAGAGAAAAGCACCCTCCTAATGAATAAATGGTGCTCGCAAGGAGGAAAAGGATTCAATATTTGGTGAAAGCAAAGAGAAAAAGCTGAAGAAAGGCAGGAAAGCACACAAAACAGGTGAAGCTTTGCATACATAAAGATGTAAATAGTATTTTCTTTGCGTGCAACAGATCCCCCGTAAACAACAATTTATATTACACTTAAAAATTTTATTTGGTAATAACTTCTCATAACAAAAACGTGATAAATGGATCTTTTGGCTACTTTATCCATCTTTATAAAATATATATTTAAAATAAGCAGATGCCAAAAGGGAATGGTCATGCAATTTGACTGTAAAAGTAGCCTTACTTTGACTTTTGATGTCTTGTTTAGCTTCTCTTGCCATAGCAGCGCGTACTTCTTTACCCAAATTGATCGCACTGTAACAAAAAATGCATGATTTTGTTTTAGTGAAATAAACATCATACACCAAACAGATAAAATTTTAATTGAATTTAAGGAGCAATGCCATTTATGAAAAAAAACATTCTTCGCAAACTTTTTATATATATTTAAAAAAAAAAAACTTCATTTGAAAGTTACATGAAGCTCATATACCATGGAAAATATTTAAATCATATTTCAATTTATAAGAACACGTTGAATGTTATTTAAAAGACATTTTTGAGTTTAAAACAAAATATGGTGACCTGTAAAACTAATTTAATTTTAGAATTAATTTCAGAATAAAGTGAAATTTAATGAAAAAATGTAATTCATAAACAGCATCCTGATGTTTTATATTCATTCCAAATGCATATATGCCAGTTAAAATGTTTTTGTAGATAACAAAGTTATTCAAATGAAGGAATTTGAACAATAAAGTGATAAGCCACACTTTTTTATTTCCAAAAGAGACATTTTTATATCAGACTGTCTCTCAGACAGGTGCTCGCTAGATCACGACACAATACACAGAAACATGTTATTACATGTATGAAAATCGTGGTTTTTCTTTCCAAAACGCTTTTCTGGAGAAACAAATGCACTCCTGAATAATATAAAATTTAGCTTATCATTATGTCCTGTTAATTGTTTTTAGCACAGGTTTCAATATTTTTATATAATTTTCGGCAAACATTATTTTTTCCGTCAAAATTACTGCACGAAAATCAGGAACTATAATCGAAATCCTGCAACCAAAAATTATCCTGCCCTAGAACCGAAATTTAAATATTTATGAAATCTAAAAGAAGCACGAAAGATGATTAACTTTTCTTATTTGTGCTAATTTGGAAAGGGGGTTGGAGATTAATACCTTTCTGATAAATATATATATATATATATATATATATATATANTGTTGTAAAACATGTATATATATATATATATATATATATATATATATAAAATCATAGGCATAGAATCCCGTACCTATGATGCAATAACTTTACGCCCTGCCCATAATATAATGCACTAACAAAATTTCACTTTCTTGTCAGTTCAGCTTTCGCTCATTTAGAAAAACAAATTATTTTAACGAAGAACACTAAGTTAGCAATATAATGCTTAGATTTTAATTAAAAGTTTTGTCGCATAAATAATACACCAACCCATTTTTTTTTTTTACACTTTAAGTTTTTTTCTTCCTTTTCGATTAGTTTAAATTGTAGAGTGGCATTTTTTTTTTTAAATCAATTTGCTTACTTGTTTCTGTCTGACAATGGTCTTTTATCTTTTGATGAAACTGGAGTCAATGTACCATCTCCACCATAGTTGGAATTGCGTGAGGAATCAAGTCTTGGTGATTTACACACCGTAACTTGCTGACGGGCAGACATCAAATTGGTATCGACTCTACTTTTTATTTCTCTCTTAGCTTTCGGTTTTGTTTTCTCTTCTGCTAAACTAGCTGCGATTTTTGAAGTAACTGCTTCCCATCGGCTTCTCTTGGGAACTGACACTACTACCCTTTTGCTTTCAACAACCTCTGTCTTGCTTTTAACGCCGCCATTTTTACAAGATGTAGCTTCGATCATCGCTTTAATTTTTGACATGACATTTTTCTTCGGCGACTTAGAAATAATCTGCTTTCTTCTCTCCTCGTCACATGATCTAGAAGATTTGTTTGAGTTTAAAGGCTGTTTCTTTAGAGAATCAACTTTGGGTCTATTTTTGTTCAATTTTTTCTCTGGAGTGGAGTGTGCGGGAGATGCTGTGGATACACTCGAATGATCACTTGCCTTCCTGCAATCTGCATCTAAATTTTTAGATTGTTCCATTGGCGTATCACAGTTTTCAGTTTGATCGGATAAGTTTGAAGATTTTGCCTCCTCGGGAGACATTAACGAATCATTAATTTCTGTTAGAGTAGTATCTTCAACCATAGTTTCGCATAGTGCTTCGCTTGTGCTGTCATGACAAATAGCAGTCACTGTTTCAACAGTAACATCTGACATCTCTGCATTCATCATTTCAGAATCTTTACTCAAACTGTTGTTTTCTTGGAATGAAAACCCATCTTCAGAATCGCAGGGGCCAACAGAATCTTGTAGTTCTTCTTCAGTAAGGGGTTTACTCGACAAATCATCCTCAGGTCTGTCATTGCAACAAGAATCGCTTAATCCAGTAGAATAACCAGAAGTGCTGTTGCTTTCTGCTATCTTATAAGCATCCACTTCATCAGCGACGATGCAACTGTCCCTACTAGCTGTTGAGAATCTTTTTGTGCTATCTGTTGAGTCCATAGAAGTAGCCATTCCTCCTTCTATCTCACCATCTTCTTGGTAGCCTGTATCTGAGCTGGCTACAGTGTAAACGGATTCCGGTCTCTCTAAGGAGTTGAACGTGTTATTGCTGTGTGGTATACAATCTTCCCATGAGACGGTTAATTTTTCTTTCGGAATAATATTTTCAGGTTCTCCTTGCATCAAGGAGTCTCGACTGCTGTCAGTATCATAGTTCTTTGAATTAAGTTCTTCGCTGGCAAAATTTTGTATTTTATTGGTGATTTTACTTTCATGAACTAAACTGGAAAGGGACTGAATTTGCTCACTGTTACTTTGTTCGGAAGTCACTGAATACTGATAAACGTTTGTATTTGTGGTATGAAAAGAATTTTGAACTATATCCATATTCTTAGAAACATCTATAGCACCTGTTTTCGGCAGCGAGTTCAAAAGAAAATCTTTATCATTTACCTCATTCCCTAAATTGGGAACAGGGTTAGAGTAAAAATTTGTTGCTGCGAGAATATTATTTATTTTATGTGGCCGCTCATAATCAGGAAGATCTGCTTTGACTTTGGATTTTATTGGATGAGTCACTACATTTAACTTCTTTTGCGAAATACTGCTTAGAAACTTATCAGTGGAGTTGAGAATCTTGTCTGTTCTGCTATCACTGGATATCGAGTAACTATTGCTATACTTGCTAACATTCGTTTGTTTAGTGATTTCAACATTACGGCATTCGGGTACATATTGTACAGAAACATCGTGAACTTGCTCGTCTTCAGGTAATTCATTGATATCATCAAAAGATTCAGAACTAGGAAAATCAAATCCTTTGACATCACTAGAAGTAGGGAAATCGGGGCACAAAGTAAAATCTTTCATCTGACTTGGCGTCAGAATCCCCAGACTCTCGTCATAGTCAATAGACATCTGATCATCATTATCTACTTCATCTTCCAAATCAGGATAATCATAAGAAGAAAAATAAGCATCAGGCAATTTAGCACCTTCGAAATACGATCTTTCTTTCAATCGTCTCATTTCCGCTGTTAAGGGTGAAGCTTGACCAGAATTTGTAGGAGTCTGAAGGTATTGCTCAAATTCTTCCATAGCCATAGGTAGACTAGAAATAGTTTTGTTAACTTTGGCAGTATTTTTGCTCGATGAACTCGTATTTAAGCAAGAATCCGGTAGAGGCTCTAATGATCCTCGGTGATCATTTAAACGCATAACATTCGAACTAAAATAGTGTGCATTTTTACCTGTCTCATAGTTATTTAAGCTATGAGAAGATGACGAGTTATTCATGAAACTGCCACTAAATGATTTTCCTCGTCTAGATGAATGCTCCGACGTTGTTTCAAAATTTCGGATTGCTTTAATAATAAGAGACTCGGAACGCCTTTTTTCTGTTATATTTCTGGAATCATATGAGAAACTTTGGCTGTTATTAGGCATGCTAGGACGCATCTTTGGTTTTAAGGAAGTGGGATCACTAGTGCTAGTTTTAATGAATTTAACTCCTTGTGAAGTTGGCACAAAACCGACATTGTAATCCCAACTTGAATGCCTATAGTGCGACTCTTGTACTTTGGGAAGAATCGTATCACTTGGCCAACTACACGCACTCAAATCATTTAGCTTCGATACTTTACTAACAGGAGCAAAGATTCCATGATTTGGCTTGCATGTAAAATAAATAACACCATTCACTGTTCCATTATTCTTCCCTACCGGCTCATCTAATTCAACACCACACCAACAGCCTTCTGCAAAATTTGTCTTGCCGTAATAGCGAAGAATACCAGGTTTCACACCACTAATGCACACACGCTGCCCAATAAGGTTTAGCCATTCTTTGTTCTCATCTGTGTCTGCTAAATGGTGTAGAGATGTTGCGTTAATTCCATGGTCTTCATAATCTTTCTTCGGAGCACCATTTCTATATTCTTTTCCAGAAACCTCTACATACTCAAATCGCTGTGGCAGCCGAGTGCGAGGCACCTTGGACTTTTGTCGAAGAGTAACATGATGTAGCTTAGCCTCCATGGTTTCATATCTCCCATTTTCCTAAAATGAATAAACGAAGATGTTAACACTCTATTACATCGTACAAAAAACTTCTTACACGTTATCGAAACAAATTTATGATAAAATAGCTATCAGGAGTCCAAAAGTTTTAATATTAGTCGTAAATTTATAGTTTATTACAGTTGTAAATTTATTTTTAACTATATTTGTGAATTTTAAAACATATAAATAGAGGAATTTCTTAAATCGAGAATAACTAATTATCGTAAAACTATGCACTTAATTAAAAATAATCCTTTTACAATCTTACAATAATTTCGTTTGTTTCAATATTAATTATAGTTAAATATTAATTAGAAAGAAATTTTTCTAATTTGATACTTACTTTCTTGGACTTTCTACCATTCATGTACAATACATACTTCATGCGATTTATAATAAAACTGAAGTAAAAAAAACCCAAGTAACAAATTGCAGATTATTTAAAGCGTCTTTACTGGATTTTGAATAGTTATTTTAGTTTTTATTACTATTCCTAAGTAACAACGAGGTACTCAGATAACAGAATGAAGATACTTATAACATTTTAAGACTTATTGCAAATTGAGCACGTTGAAAACTTATCATTTAAGTAAAATGAGTTTAAAATTAATATATAACTTTTCACTTTTAAATTCTATGGACGTATAACCCATATACTGCAGATGTAAAATTTTACTAACTTTTTAACAATTAATTTTGAAAGAAAAAATTACAACTACATAGTTTAAAAAATACCCTACAAAAAAAAAGAAGTGAGAGTTGTGTATAAAATGTTTAAGTTAGAATGTAAAAAAAATAATAAATAATAATTGAGAAAAATTACCTGGATTTAACTAAATAACTAATATTAATGCTAAATACATATTTTAGAGAAATATGTAAAACTATTAGATTTCATTTTACTAATGATATGGTAAAGGTTTAAAAAGAGTCAACGATTCCGTACATTGTGGGTATCGCTAATTTATAAAACAATAAATAACTAAATCTTCTTCAAAAATTTTACAAAAGCAAAGTTTTTATTATCTAATTAACTTCAACAGAAATTAAACACCTATCACTTTATTAGAATCAATTTTCTAAACATCTGACAATATTTACCATTTATTAAGTACTTAAATTTATTCTGAAAATGAAATACCCCTGAAACAACTTTTCTTAAATTGGGTATTTTCAAGTATCTGTCCCAACAGACATTTTCTTAACTTACCTGAAAATAAGAGTCCTGACAGAAAGAAATATTTTACAGATATTTTACCGCAACTACTAACAGCAGTACATAATTCCATTCTAAAATACTTTTGCATGGAACGGCGTTATTACGAAAATATATCACACCTGAAATTTACATGAATTGGAATAATGAATATAAATTTTGGTGTTAGAGGAAAAAACGTAGTCTTTTTTCTTCAATCATTTATTTCTATTTATTGACCCCAATTCTGCAATATGGAGAGAGAAATTTGAATATTTAGAACATCTGAAGTTTATCAAAATCATACTCAATTTATATCAAAGACTTATTTCGTATTTAAAACAAGGCCTTTTACGGATAAGGGCCACCGAAAAAAATTATTTGCTTTCGGGAGATGGCAGGAATTTATTATGGATATCAATCGATTGTTTAATTGTTATTTTAGTGTAATGAAAACAAATTTTATGTTTTAAAAATCAAAAAGTGGAATGTATGTAGAATATTAAGGAACCGAAAAAACACTCTGTCTTCTTCAATACAATTAAATCACAGCAGATTTTCAACATTCTCTAGGGGAAAAATATAAATTTTATTATTTATTTTATTGCATATTAATTATGCTTACATCTTCACATTTTTAAATAATCCCAATAGCTGCATTTGTTTTAAATATGTTTTGGTTAAAAAACATTTTCTTAAAAAAATAATAACAGCATAGAAGGGACAAAATATTTAAATTGTTTGATACTTTGTTTAATACTTATACATTTTGGAGTTTCAATATTTTTTCTAAGTCCATAGAAATTAGCTTGAAAAATAATTGTAAAATTTCTTAAGCTAGTTATAATTCTTATCTTTAACTTAAGTTTTGATTGACCACTCGTCACTTTCACATTCCTATTTTAAACAAAAATCTTAATCTGAGAGTTGCATTTATCTATGATTTTAGAATTACTCTTTTCAATACTTACTTCTTTAACTACCTATTAGGTAATAGCATTCACTCTATCAATTTATAAAAAAAAATATATTAATATGAAAAAACACTTGTTGCCTTAGAGACAAAAATGAATATGTTAAATCATTAAATAAAATATTCTAAAACAATTTATTTCAACATATTACATTTTAAACATTTGATTTAAAAATATCGCGAGTCCTGTTTCGCGTAATCTAAATCGTTAAAGCAACTATAAAATGCAATTGATAAAAGGAATTAAGATTTATAACAAAAATCCGTGGGCGAAATTAATGGCTCGATACTTGAGTCAAGGTAAATGTCAAGGCTAAATAATAAACAAACCGTCGCTATGCTTGAAAAATGCAATGAGTGTTTTAAACCAGATTACAAAATTCATCAATAAGACAATTATTTTAAAATATTGAAAGAGTTGTCATTAAATTGTACTCATTAGCATTAGTGGATAGAAATGCATAGAATGGTCGACAATTTAAAAGAGTGAGAAAGGTCAATGCAGCACTTAGAATGTACTAATGTAATCAAAGTTATAAACTAAATCTTAACATAAAAAGGTAAGGTGCCTCAGCAACCAGACAACCAGATTCTTCCAAATCAATCAGATTCAAGATTTAAAATAAACTTAATTACTTCGAATTGACCTCACGTCAAAGATATGAATACAATTATGATCAAAATATTTATATTATGGCACTGAAATCTGTGTATGGAACCTATTATTATTTCATTTTACATAAATACATAACTTTGAAGAGAAAAAAGAAAATTTTTAAAGGAATAATTTGCATGCCAAAAAGTTTTACCACATTTTTTTTAAAAATGTATTTGTATGCAATGTGCACTTGTATGTTAAAGTACGAACACGCTATTTGGGCGGCATAGCTTCCTGTAAGGGAAACTTCTGATAAATATTTTAGACTGAAAGCACATTAGTGACAGTGCAATTAAGGAAGAGATATTTCAGCTCCTCATGACAGTTTAGTGGTTGCTTGAAAAAATGATGAGTGCTTATAAGCAAATAGTTTTAAAATGGGTCAGTAATATTTTTAAAATAAGGATTGGAAAGGGTTAAAGTATTTGTGGGGTAGCAATTGAAGAATTTAAGTTTGCACAAAAAGCAGGCACAACATACACACCTTGTGTGCAGATGAATCTCTCTAGATTTAAAAGTTACTGTTCTCATCACTGTTATGGACAAATTATCAGATAAAACAATAGAAAACACTTCCAGAAAAATGTTTAAGAATCATTCTGATTTCAACATATGCCAAAGGTTCTTTTTCGCTTCGTAATTCAGTTTAGTGAAAACTATTATCAGGGGATTTAAAACCATGTATTTTTATGACTGAAAATGGCGTTTGTGTTTAAATTTTGGATTCATTTTAGAGAAATTAAATAATTTATAATAAAGGTTTTTTTGATATCGATAAACTCATATAACTAAAGATAATAGTAAAAACCTTTTTATCTTTTTTAAAATTTGGAATTGGTTTTGGAGCATTTAAAATTTTGATAATTTTTTATATAATCCCGAAAGGTTAACAAAAATACATATTTTTCCGTCTCTTGGGACAAAACTATAGGTCTTTTATTAAAAATACTCTTTTTATTTTTTACTTCCGCCACGGAGCTTCTGTTACAATTAACTTTAATATTTTAATGCATTGTCTATGTTACCGGCAAAATATGAAACGCCGGCATTATATAGAATGCCTAGGCATTCTATATAATGCCGTACGTTTTTAGGCAAAGTATGAAATATGAGAAGCATTACATACTTTCCCTAGGCATTGTATATAATGCCTAGGCATTCAATAGAATGCCGGATGCTATTTAGGCAAAGTATGAAATAAACGTCCTGATGAGGTTATTATGCAAATGATGTGCATGTTACTGTGAACGACCGAAATCGGTGGTTGTTGACTATCATCGGTGAATGTTGACAATCACATAGTCGCTTTGGTGAATGTCCGAAATATTTGTTACATCCGATTTGATATTAATTTATTCGTGGATATAATTACATTTATTCGATATTTTAATACTTACTGACGATAGATTAGAAGAAACATCAGTATTTGGAGTATCGGGCAAATATATATCGGGCAATGGCACTTGACATTAAAAAATTATCGGTGTAGGATATACCGGGCAATGGCACTGTACCTTAAAAAAAACATCAGTGTAGGGTATACCGGGCAGTGGCACTTAAATAGACCCAGTATGACTAGACCTTTGGTAAATGTCCGGAATATATACCAGTTAAGTGCCACTGCCCGGTATACATTTACCCGGTATACCCTACACTGATATTTTTTAAGGTCAAATGCCATTGCCCGGTATATATTTGCCCGATACTCCAAACACTGATGTTTCTTCTAATCTATCGTCAGTAAGTATTAAAATATCGAATAAATGTAATTATATCCATGACTCAATTAATATCAAATCGGATGTAATAAATATTTCGGATATTAATGCGACTATGTGATTGTCAACATTCACCGGTGAAAGTCAACAGCCACCGATTTCGATCATTCACAGTAACAAGCACGTCATTTACATAATAATCTCATCAGGACGTTTATTTCATACTTTGCCTAAATAGCATTTGGCATTCTATAGAATGCCTAGGCAATGTGTGAAATAAAAATCATTTCATACTTTGTCGGCTAGTTTTAGGCATTATATACAATGATTAGGCATTCTATATAATGCCGGATTTCATACTTTGCCGGTAACATCTACATTACATCCATAAAACCAAAGATCTTTAAAAAGTCTAAAAACAAATACGGATCCATTAAAATCTCGGGAAGAGTA